AATTTCTCTGGCAGCCCTGCAGACTGGGATAACTTCTCCATGGTCTTTGGTGTCGCGCAGAATGAGCTCCATCTGAATGGCTTGTTGCAGACAGTCCAGAGTGCCTTCAAACTCACGGAACGGAGTTATTTCTCAGGCATCTGGGATGCGGTTGACGGTGTGCTAAACACCAAACGGAATCTAACAGAAGTGGCTGCCTATGTGAAGTTATTGGAAGCAATGGCAAACAATCCTGCCAGCAATGTGTCAGCTGTAGAAATCATAGAAGCCAGTCGCTCCATTCTCAAGAGGCTGGATTTCTCTGAGCTGCTAAATGAATTGAATATAGGTTCCAGCTCAGCTTCTCTCTCCAATAAAACTGATTTTGACAGTGTGATCAACGTTGTTGCTCATCACTTCATTGTTAGGGCGGAATCCCTGTTCAACAAGACCCTACCTTGGACTCAAAGTGACCAAATCCTTTCTCCAACCAGTCTGATCACACGGTGAGTTTGTTTTTTGGGTATCATAATGGCCATGTGGGTAGCGCTCACAGCTTACTTCAGCGGGGAGAATATTTTAGTTTCTTCCAGTGAAGCAACTTTCGCCTGAAATCTAACACCATAATATAGGACTCCAGGTCTGGCATGGGTTGAAGCAAAGGACAAGAAGTTTAGCTTTGGAGCCACAGAACAGAACGCACAGCTGAAAGTAAGACTTTCAAAAATGCTCTGTGTTGGTCTGTCTCAGTTCACAGTGGAAGCAGGGTCCTTTAGGAAGTTTGCCCACTGGAAGCAGGGTTACACCAATGGTAAACTCTTTGGAAACCCCTTCTTTGTGGTCCTTAGGTTTTTTCCTCAGTCTCCCCCAAGCAAGTGTTTCTAACTCTTATCTCTTGTCTAACGTGAACCTTTCAAGCCTGTTTTCTTATCCGTGTGGTTTGAAAGTGACCGACAGCTTGGGCAGCAACAGCAGAAGGAATTGATGACCTAGAATTGGGAGGGTACCCACTTAGGAAGTGTCATGAGACACTTGGCTTTATCTGGAAATTTTATTTACAACTGCCAAGGAGTAGCATCTATGCAGTTGACAGGTCAAACAGTAATATGCCTTGTGTCTGAAAGAAAAACTCATTTAAGCTCCATCTTATTTTTCAGATTTCTGTTTTTAGAATTTGAAAACACCATCTTACAGGTGACAGTGAATAAGAGCTACAGTCCTTACCTGATGTGTTTAATAAATGCCACTGAACTTGAAGACAGCAAACTGACAGGTAATCATGATTTCATTAATGTTGTGGGACCCAAGCTGGAGTGCGCCTGTCTTTTCAAAGTGTTTTATCTAATGCTGGGAAAGAAAGGTGCTATGCATTTTTAGCTGCTGGCAATTAAGTGGAGCTGTGAGGCCTCAGGAAGGCAAGCTCCTTTTGTTTGACTTATATCACATCATGGATATAAATTTTCCGTCCGACTATATCCAAAAAGCATGTGCACTCTTCGCTGTGCGATGATAGTTTGCTGACACTCAGATAAAGAATCCTTACAAATAGAAACCCATATTCCCTTCACAGCTTTATGTGCCCTTAAGATGGCAGTAGTTATTTTCAGAGTTAACGTATTTCACATAGCTATTCATTGCATATGCCTATTGTAAAACCTGAGAGGATTATCTGCTCACAGAGATACTGAGCGCTTCCAAAGGCTCAGGCATAGTCACAAGTCCTGTTTCCAGGGTGGGGTAGATTGCTTTATGGGAGCAGAGCACCTGCGCAGCCTGGATCAGAAGGTTACAATCCAGGTCTCCAAGTGTGATGTCTTAGCTCCAAAGCTTTGTGAATTTGGTGGAAAATAGGTATGCTCAGTAGGCCTCAGAGCAAAAGTGCAGACATTGTCATGTGTAAAGTTTCTGTAAGTCAGGTGTTTTTTGTCTGAAATAACTTTTCTTTTTTTTTCTTCCCGCAGAAAACTTCACACTGCTTTTAAAGCAAACTCATCTGAAGAAGGACCCTTTCATGCAAAATAATATTTCTGAGAAATATTCATCCATACCAGAGCTCCTGAAGCTAAAAGTGAGTCTGCTTAAAATGCTGACTTGAAGGACATCCCACAGTGATATATAAATGTGCAGTGGAGGTTTTGGAAAACAGCACGTGGAAAACAGTGTTTTAGAAAAACAACTGATAGAAGGCAGAACTGAAAATCTGTTTTATGTCTGCTGCCTGTACTTAAAGGTTGCCATTAACCTGGGCTGAGAAACTTGTCTCCTATACCAGCCCCTACCCAGTGTGCACCCAGGTTTCAGAGAAGGTAGAGCTATTCCTGTCCTCCTAGCCTGTTTTATAGAATGGCTGCTATTTTCTGTCATATGTCCCAAAAGCATGAGCACTGCACAGGTTGCCAGTGACAGCATGTTCCTGATAAATCAGTACACCAGTAGTTTTAAAGTTCGGTAGGTTTAGACTTAGCAAAACACCTTGCAGAGCTGAAACTGATACTACCAGTTCCTAGCTGCCTCGGCTTCTTTTGAGAAATATGTAGGGAGGAGTTTTCAAGGGCACAAACAGCAGATAGATACCTCTGACCTGTTGAAAGTAGTGGAACTGGCAGTACCACTAAGTTAGTTACCACTGTGCCTACTGAGCTATACCAACTGCAGTGTGGCTGGAGTCCGGCTCCCCGCATGCTCCCTTAACACTAGAGGTCTCAAAATACCATAACAGTTTCTGAGTTTATCCACCTAAGCAGTACTGATTCATGGATTTGCTCATTAGGTTTGGATTTAGCAGTGCCTCGTTTTGATAAAATGCTTCTTACACCATGCCTGCACATGCAGTATACATATGTAGCACTATAGTATTCTACTTCTCTCATTCAGACCCTTTTTTCAAAAGGCATTGGTATGCCCCGCTGTTGCTGCTTAATATTTCCATAGCAATAATGCCATGAGTCTCGATGTGCCGTGTACTCATAGGCACAAAACAGAAGACCGTTCTTGCCATGAAAGACTGATAATCTAAGTAACAGTGACAGGCAATAGGGAAGCCCAGGGTATGAAGAGCAGGCAAAGGATTGCAATTTTACACAGCACATTGCCAGAGATGGAAGTCCTGACTTATAGCCAATTCCTTCTCATCTGTCCTAGTAGGGACGGCCATATGGTGTCCAAAAGGCTGAATCTGTCGCACAAGGTAGATTGGTTTGGTTTCTGGGAAGATTAATTGGTCAACAGGTGAGCCCAAACTGGATATCACTGTGTTTGTACATTGGACAGAGGAAATGGTATTGTAAGGCTTGCAAGGTTTGTTAGATCCTGTGCAAGGTTGTGTGGCCAGGTCTGCTACAAACTCATACAGGAATGGTTGTGAACTGAGACCTTCCGAATGAACTAAATACATAAAAGCATTTAATCCTAAAGAAAAATGCAAAAGAACAGCTAGATTTTTTTAAAGCTTGCCTTTTATAATTCTGTCATCTAACTGGCGTCTGTTTATTTCTCTTCCCTTTCAAAATTTCATTTGAAGATATCTCACCTCTGGGATCTGACAAAACTTCTTTGTGACTACAAGAGTTTTAAGTCAATACAGCATATTTGCCATCTTCCTAATGTTAGCTTTGGAGAACTGTGTGAACAGAGACAATCTCCTGAGCAGCTCCTCCGCGTTATTGAGCTAAGCAATCAAGTTGTGACCAATGTACTGAATCGCAGAAGAATCTCCAAAGAGCTTCAAGATATTCTAATTGGGGATGCGACAAACATCCAGTTGCAAATGAAGTGGTGAGGCTCTCTTTCTGAGTTATGCTTCCTTAGTCCTCTGTTTATGAAATGATTGAATGGCTACTTGCCTTCTTTTTAATATTCCCCATTTTACTTCTTGTTTGTTGTTGTTGTTGTTTTAATTTAGGTTTCAAGAAAATGTACCAGAAATTGCTTTCTTTCAAGAGATTCCTCAGTATATGACTACTTTGAATTCCATGTTGAACATCACTGAGAATTTAAGAGATAATAGTGAGCAAGGTAGTTTCCCATATTTACTTTACAATGTTGGTCTGCGAACATCATCACTGATACCATAATTTCTGCTGGCAATTCCAGGACGCATTTAGTTGTCAAGAAGAAGCAGTCTTAATGAAATAAGCATGCACCGTTTCCTTGGGATCCTTTATCTAGAGCCAATTCTAGACTACGCTTTGTTTTCTCTATTGCCCCCAAAAGCCCTGTGTGCTGAAAGCCCCAAATCTTTGATTTTGGTAAAGGATGGAAGTGCTGTATGTCACTGCCATTAAAAAAAACTTGCAGGAGAGTCATATATGCCAGGTTTTACTGTCAAATTTTCCATTGTGAGTTAAAGCTGACAGATCTAGGGATAGTAGGAGTAGGAGCTATGCCCCTGGGTATAACATTCAGCAAAGTTTGCCTAAGCACAAAGTCCTCTGGGCTTGAGATTGCTGTATGTCTGGAGAAAGCTGTAATATAAATTGGTTTTTTGGTTTGCCTGGCAGTAAAGTTGAGAGAGATGTTTAAAAATGTGGACCAGCTCAAAGAGGATCTCAAAAACACAACAGGAATGTCTACAGCCAGCATTGATGCTCTCCTGGAAGCATCTCTCCCAGAAAACAGCACTCAGGTAAGTTTGCTGTCATTCGGGGAGGAGGTCCTCTTGATTTTACCTCTCAGACTATTAAATCCAAGATTTGCTGGTGAATGCAGCTGAACAGATCACTGAAATCGTGACAGCAGAGACATATACGGTCCCGCAGGGACAGACAGTGTAGCATGCTACAGATCAGAAGTGGCCATCGGGTATGGAGTAAAAGAAGTCACTAACATCAGTTCAGCTGCTGGAGACTGAGAGCCATATGGTCTCTCTGGCTGTCACCAGTAGCTGGTAAGCAGCCACAGACTCCTTGGTGAGTGATTGCTCAAATCCGTAGCAAGGGCGCAGTTCGCTGTAACAGATTAATGAGGACTAAGTGGGGTCCTCCGTGCTGAGGAGTTGTTGCAGTCCAGATGGAAAAGCGCAATTCTTACCAGGATTCATGAGAGCAGTCAGGGATCCAAAAATAGCCTCCCAGGGAACAGATCTCTGTAATGAGAGATGAGCTTGCCTTCCTCAGCCTCCTGTGCAAGCAGAGCTCCAGATGCTTTTCACCTTCCCAAACACCTAGTCTGGACTGAGCCCCAAACAGCGCACGCTTTTCCAAACTTTGCACGCGTCAGTCAATAGGAGATTGAAGCCATAAAAGTCTTTACTGCTGTGCAAGCTGGCATTAAAACACAATCCTTAAGATTCGCTCCTTGAAGCAGGAGTAACGGGTAGGCGTATTCTGCTTCTCAGGGCTGAAATACGACATTGTGGAAAGAGCAACGACAAGGCAAGATTAATCCATGCGTACTGGAGCAGTCTAGCCCCTAACAAATGTTTTTTTCCTTTTCTTCCATAGTTCATTTCTCAGATCGTCCAGCTACAGTCTTGTGCTGTCCATCCTGCTGACCCACAGCTTCAAACAGTAGCAGAGGAGTTCTGCGCTCTCTCTCTTTCAGAGAGGACTCGTAAGATGTACATCCTGGGGGTCACCCTCTTACGACACTTAGACATTTACAATTTCCTATACAAGGTTAGTGCTGGATTTGTAGAGTGCTAGGACTATTCCTTGCTGCATGTAGTGGCTGAAAAGGTCATAAAATATCATTGCGGTGGCCAGAAGCTATGCTGATTTACACAGGCCAAAGATCAGGCTTTGCTCATGTAGTAATTTTTATTAGATATCCGTGCTGTAACAATGTGGATATAAATGAAGATCCCAGCTGGTGTAAACCGGCAGACCTCCTCTACAGACATTGGACCTACTCTAAATGTCTCCCTATCTGCTGGTATCATTTATATGCTGTCGCAACCTCTTGAACGTTCCCAGCTGAGTTCAGGCTTCCCAAAAATACGACACTGGGCAAATTTTTTTATTCTTTGAAAAGGAAAGCCCTGAAGAAAGCCCTGAAAAATATATTTTCCTAATCTAGTTGTCATTGCCAGGTAATTGCATGGTTCAGATATCCCACATGTGTAACTATGTAAACAACATGCCTAAATACGTTTGCTGAGAAGTATGTATTGACTGCATATTTAAAAATGCTACAGAGGAGGTCCTGGGGAAAACAGATTATGAAATGAGGAAGCCAGTGAATTTTGCTGAGGTCAAAAGCCATTTGTAGTGTCTGACCACCCTGTTGTACGATATGCTACCTCTAAGAGGCTCAGACTATATGCCGGCCAATTTCTGATATACCTTTCCCAATTGTAGGTGTTTGGAAAACATGCACTGTTTAGAGTATGTAATATTGAAGGGAGGGGGTTGCGAGAGCACTTGGGGATTTAGGAGTACAAATCCCATTCATTTCCTATGGGACTTCTGTTCCCTAAGCCTCCTAACAGTTTTGAAAAGCCACAATCTCTGCCTTGGGATTAACACAAGAATATGGGTGCGTGCACGCACGTGCACACAGCGATTCCTGCTAATTGTAATTGATTTCCTTCTTGTCGCTTGTAGATGTTTTTCCCTAAGGAACTTCAGAAACCTGTGGACAAGATGTTAGGCCTTCTAACAGAAATGAAATATTTCAGACACCAGGTTGAATCTGGCGTGCATCCATTGCTACAAGCTATTCATTCACTCAGAAAGCTCCGGCAGTCTAGAAACGTGCCTCTGACTAAGGTATATGTAGTGTGCATTTGCTTTGGAGACGGTATGCCTTTGAAACAGTTTGCACAGAAATTTCTTACCCTAGAGGCCAAAAGGTGCATTAAATCATAGGTTACTGAATCTGTTTTAAAGCAGCAGTGTCCTAAGAAGAGTCTCTGTCCAACTCCCATGTTCCCTTCCTGTGAGTGCGTTGATTTGGAGCAGTGGAACAGTGATGAGCCTGACAACGTTGTTAAGGGGCAGGGAGATGAACGAGCATCCTGAAGCAGGGTAGACTTTCAAGGAAATATACAGGTGCAGTAGAAGGGTACAGCTTCTGAAAACAACTGGAGAACTGCCCACTAAAGGCCATGCAAAACCATTCAAGTCAACAGCAAAAATCTGTTCCAGCTTGAGCATGCACTAGATCGGGTCCAACAGGTCAGAGCTGCTCAAAACGTTCAATATGAACCCAGTCCTGTTTTGACAGCTGTTTTCTGTTCTAAGTGTTTTACTGAATTCCTCCAGTTCTGGATCCCCTCCTGCTCTGATCTGCAGTGAACGGCAGCCCAGTTAGCACTGGTAATCGCTTTACCTAGTAGTCATGGCAGGGCCATATGTAGTCATGGACTGGATGGAGGTAAGCGATGTGCACATCTGTGTGACAAACTCTCTCTTGGAACCCAGGGTTTGTAAGTGTTGCCAGGCACCCTCGTTACACGCATTACAGGCAATTCCCACGTTGTATCTCATGCCTTGAAGTGAATTCCCCACATCTGTCATAGCAAAGGTGAGCCATAAGGGCACGTTTTATGTTCATGTGTTCAAAAAAGGGTGCAAAAGATTAAGCAGGTAGTTTCAGACTTTCCAAGGAAAGCCCCTTGTTTTGTAGAGAGAAGAACTGATAAGAAATCTGCCAAAATGTTTAATTCCTGCTCTCTAATTCTGCCATCCCTCTTTTCCCTCAGAATGGGATGCTTTTAGCATGCAGGATATATTTGCTTTTTTTTTTTTTTTCCTCTTCTGCAGACCTTACTGAAATCAAATGACTTCAGGATAACACAGGGCACATTTAAGTCCATGTCAAAAGTTCTCTGCAACCAGGAAATCACACCCCTGTTTTTTGAGTCTTTGCTTCCTGATTTTGGAGACCCTGTAAGCAACAGTTCTTCAGCGGAGGATGCCTTTGTCCAAAAGATGATGAGGAAATATGGGATTCCTCATGATTCCAGTAAGTTTGGCTTTACCTTGAGGCAAAAACATTTCAGAGCTAAACCCAAATGTTTCCAGAGAGATTCAGCAATAAGCTGTTCACCCATATGTCTCTGGAGAGCTGATGATTTCTGCTAGCTGAGAATCTGCACTGCTCTATTTATTGGTGGCTTATTTTCATAAAAGTTAAAAGGAAAACAGCACCTGTAGAGGAGCGGTGCTTGGTGCTGCACTATTTCCCAGTTGCTGGTGATCTGTTTTTAGGGCTTTTTAGGGCTTGACAGGTCACTGCTTTTTCTTGATATGTAGTTTTTCTGACTGTACTGACGTTATTAGCTCCTCTGAGTTCACAAAAACTCCATTTAACCTTCAAGCAGAGAATCTTGGCTCAAACAGTGAGACTCTGGTTGTCTTGAGTTCAGCAACAGGAGATGGGGAGCGGATTACTTTTGTCAAGGCACATTATATGTCAGTGAGGAGGGCTCTGAACAAACTGGGCAGACAGGAAAAACGCACTGGTAGCTTTCTTGTATCTGATCTACTTGTGCTCTGTGCAATTTGTTCGGTTTTCTCCCCTTGCAGCCCCATTCTGTTTATCCTTTTACCTGGACTTGGTCAAGACCCCTACTGGAGCTTTAATTTGGTCTTTCTTAAAACCAATGGTGCTTGGGAAGATCCTTTATACACCAGATATTCCAGAAACTCGAGCAATCATGGAGAAGGTATGACTGTTTATAATACATCAGGATCTGCCCACTCAAAGAGATTTTAATTTATATCCAACACAGGCTGTTTTTTTGGAGAAGCAAAGTCTATTTTCTGCCTGTTTGGAGTGTTACTCAGTCAAAGTATCTTTTCCTAGTATCTCTGCTGTTCCGTCCTTTGTCTTTATATAAATCTTACTGCCAAGCAATTGCTGTTGGTGCAGTATCTATAACATGGATTTCTTAAGGCCTTCAGTTTATAACTTTCACCCCAATATTTTCAGCCAGTAAAAGAGAGAGATCTCCCAGGACAAATGGTAGCCAGCACATGCTGGCAAGCAGGACAATGGTAGAAGGAAAGCTGGCACCCGAGACATGCTCTAGACATTGCATATGAGCCTTACATCCGATTTTAGCGTGTGTTAAAATGGCATTTAGCCAAACACTGATAAGGTGTTTTTTCCTAAAGAAACCAAATCTGGTCTTGGCTTTATTTTTCTTAAGCTTTAAGGCAATGAATAAATGGACCTTTATATGGTGTTGTGGGGTTTTTTTGTAGTCTAATACAACCCTGAAGCAGATGGCTGACCTAGCCCTGAAGTCCCAGGAATGGTTGGACAAGTCTCCTGTCATCATGAATTCACTGACTAAGTTAAACCAAACAGTTCCGATTATCAAGGTATGAGGTTCTTATCTCCCTTGTGCCTCTTGCAAGAGGGAATTGGGAGGATGGATTTCTTCGCCGAAATAGAGATTCCAGTGGCTTCAGGGACACCTTACTCTAGCTGAGGAAACCCTTCTCAGGCTTCTGTCCTTGAGTTCCCAGGCATGCCTGCTTGTTCCCTTAACAGAAATACTCCTGAAGCACCTTGCCATGCAAATCCTCTTTCTGAAATGATTTGTTCGTAATATGCTCCCTGTCACTTTGGTCATGCTGAGGCCTGCTGGAGGGCTAAGATGAGTGGGGAACGCTCTTCAGTTTGTAAATTAACTTTCTGCTTGATGGAGTGATCCAGCCAGCCAAGACCAGGCAAGAAATGACTTTTTCAGAAAATGAAAAAGTGTCTATAATAAGCATGTAGTTGTGGGTACACTCCTAAGAGCTAGAAGATGTCTTTGTACCTCAGTGAATCTAAATAAAATTTCCTTTTCCCCTCCTAAGGAGCCTATATTTGCTTGGATGCAGAAAGCAGTAATGCTGTAACGTTTCATATACTTGCTTTGCATTCTCCGCTGTGAAAATTGTCTCCTTTTCTTACAAAACTATTGTGGCTTTCTGTAAAAATGAGATCTCTGGAACCCCAAAGCATTATAAGTTAATTTTTTTAGTGGCTGGAATTCATTGCAATTTCCATGGCACAGTGAGAAAATCCAGGGTGGAATATGTAAAAGTGAAATGAAGTATTCTCTGTTGACTGCACTTGTTCGTGGAATAACGTACAATTGAAACAAACAAAACTCTCACAGCTGGTCTCTTACCTACACCTCGGACCCCATTCATTGCTCTCTGGCTGTGTTCACAGGACTTAAAGCAGACAGCAGTGACATTTACTAACAAAGATTTCAGGCCCAGGATTTTTCCATGGGAGTCTAATGCCTGACGGTGTCAATAGGTGTCGTCTGTTGATTCCAGGAAACACTAGCAGCTTGGACTCACAGGGCTCTGTAAGACCTTTTCATTGTTAACGTTTCCTCATCGTAACGCACAGGGAGTGAAAAATGGAAGGTCAAATAAGGAGTAGGAGGAGGTTGTACAATGCTCTGTGAAGGCAGCTGGTCTGTGTTATTTTAGAAATACACTGAATAAGCTCACGGGGGTTGTGGTCAAACTGATGCTTTCTCTCTTTGCTTGTTGACAGAACGCCCTGCAGAATCCCTTTGTGCAGGTTTTTATCAAGCTGATGGTGGATTTGGATGCAGTTGAACTGCTGAGTCAAATAAATGAGCTGGGTAAGTTGTTCCACGTATGCTGCCCTCCTGTTTGTACTTCAGGCCTGGTAGTTTGAGTCACCGTATTGCATCCTTCTTCTGGTACTGCTCTTCCTCTGGCCAGTGTCTGATGCTTTGGCACAAGGCAATCTCAGCTGTCATTTAAAAATCTAGTAGCTTATGGACAACGACTCCTAGAAAGCAAAGGGCTTGCTCATGAACACTGAAGGAATAGCAGGATGGGAATCTCGGCAGCTGACTGTGGCCACTGGAGGACACTGTTTAGCTGTAATTATCACTTCAAATGAGCTACCTGAGACTCTGGTGGGAAATGTTGTAGAGAGCTCACTCTCATCACCATCAGTGTTCAGCTTAAAAGTTTCCCAGAGCAGAAGAGGAAGGGATCAAATAAAAGAACCCAGGCTGATCAAGCCAAGGACATTGTTAAGAAAGATACTCTGCCAGTATTTGCTGTTCTTCCGCAGTGTTGCGTGGTCCTTCATGGTGAGAGTTGCTGATCTGCATTATGGGGGTCATCAGCTAACAGAAATGGTGGAGACATTCCCTGTTAGTGCACAGCACAGCGATCACAGCCCCTTCCTAGCTGGGAGTATAGCCCCTTCCCACTTTTTCAGTAGATGGCCATGCCTATAAATACAAATGTGACTTTTACAAGCAGAGCTCAGCATAAGCTGGGGATGGTTTTAGTCTGTTATAGGCAAAAGGATATCAACCTACTGTTTACAATGAACCCTGCATATTAGTCATCTCATGAGTAGCACCTCTGTCTGCACTTCCAGTAAAATCAGCTGCTGTCCCTGCAGCAGCTGTTCCATATTAGTTACACTGTGTTATGAAGTCAGCTTTTAAAACAGACGGGAAACATCAGCATCTTTATTAATCTGCATTATCAGGTTTAGTACACACATCAGCACAACAGACCTAACTTTTCTTTGATGTGCTTGGAAAAAGCACATTCTCCCCTGAGACAGAGCAGATCAGCAGACATGCTGATTACATCAAAAAACATTAGATGTGGAATGAATGGCGAGCATCACATGCGAGTCTAAAAGCCCAGCAGGTTAGTAGCAGTTTCTGATTTGGGATGGCTGTCACATTCCACTGCTGGCATCCTCCCAAGGGCAAACTCACGAGTATATTACAAGTGATTAACATAAAAATCGGGTCAACAGCATGCCTTCATTGCACTGTTAAGTGCAGAAATGTATTTTACACTTAATGGTTAGTATGATGCTTTCTTTTTTCCTGGTGTCATTGTTAGTGTAAAGAGCAAAATGACTTGATGCTTCTTCTGCTGTGTGGTGACGCTACCGATTTTTATTTTTATTCCAGATAATATTCGTCTGGAATTACAAAACAACGCTGACATTGTCAATCAGCTGAATGCATTAGCTACCCTTGCTGTCAATGTGTCCTCCTGTGTCTCGTTTAATCGCATTCAAGCAGCCAGAAACTTAGAGGAAATGGAAATGGTGGCCAAAGAGCTCTTTCTGAAGAATGAACTTTTTGCAAGTATGTGACCGTCTCAAGTATCCCTGTTGATTAGACTTAGCCTAGGTTCAGGGTGGGAGTCCAGTGTAACAGGTTTGGCTTTCCACCAGTGACTGTTGTGGTCATGGCCCCAACCACACAACAATGGGTCTTTACCCAGTGGCGTGGAAACAGCACACTCAGACCTCCTTATGGCAGTGTTTTACACTCTCCTTTTTATACCTACATGTTTTTACACCTTCACTGTTTGTATAGAAAGCCTTTGGTAGACTGGTCTTTTCTCCAGGTTAGTTCTCAGCTGAACAAAGTTTCGATACCTGTGGTAGATCTTCATGGCAAAGCTGCCTTCTCTCAGGCCTCCCTCTAAAGGGAAAACAGTGCTTTAATCAAGAAAGGTGCGAGACCGTCTACTTTATTAGAAGATCATAAAACTCTTTAGATATTCCAGCCAAACACGTCAATACCGCAGTGTCTCTTCATGGTCACAGTTTTACATTTGTAGGAGTGGGTTGCAGCTTCAGGTCAGACCACAGAATGGGACAGGGGGCATAGGAGCTTACCTCAACGTGAATGATGAAAAAGGCTTATTTTAAAAAAAAAAAAAGCATAGTATCTCCTCGGTTAGCATTTACTTATAAATCCCTTGACCTAGTGATTTAGTTTTACATCTCATAATTGAAGTGTTGTCAGTAACTTTTCCTTTTCTTCAAACTTCAGACCATGATGATATTAATGCTTCAACAGGAATAGACAAGTTTCCTCCATGTTTGTCCTCCATTCAGTTTCATGCTTTGTATATGGAATAATTATGCAAAATACTCTGGAAAGAGAACCCTCTGTGGCATTGCCTCTATTCAAATAGTCATTTTAAAACAAAAAGAAATCCTGTCTGTCAGACTATATTTACAGCATGCCATTGCCTAACAGGAACTTACAAAGCTTTTAGATTCTCAAACATTTCTCACCTTTGTGGGAGTTCTGTGTGCACAAAAATATGTGCACAGGCCGCGAACACCACTTTCTTCAAAACAATGTCCATGAGGTTTTTAAGTTACAGCATCTCTATGCAAGATCTGTAGATGGAGTACATTCGGGAACAGTGTGTATGCTGAGTGACAAACACAATATGCTGAGTGTCTGATGGTCCACGTTAAAACCAAGATTTTTCCAAACACAGCTGGTTATTTTGAGAGCCTTTTTTTTTTTGAATGTTCGGTGGGAGAAGCTTTTCAGGCTCTGGGGGGTGTATTTCGCATCCAGGTTCATCAGTCGCGTTTGGAAGTATGAGTAGCTGCCGTGATGTATGCTTTCTGCTTCCAAACCCTCAGTAGTGACCATAAGCAACCTACTGATCTGAGCATTGTTTGTGTAGCAAAGAAACTAGATGATGGACTGTAGCGTAGAGGAGGCTAATAGAAGTTAGAACTTCTTATATATCTGCATGTACTGCTCTCCTGCTATGGACTCTTAGTGAAGGAAAGCTTTTTCCCTTTCTTTTCTAAGGTATCATTTTCAAGCTGCCTTCAAGTCATAGCACCCCTCGGCACGCTGTTCCTGGGGCTCTGGCCCTCCCGCCTGTGCTCAATTACACCATCCGAATGAGCAGCAGGATTACTCAAACCACCAACAGAATAAGGGAGCGGATCTGGACAGTGGGCCCACACAATTCAACCTCACAGAGCCAGATTTACAGCCGGGCATTCATTTATATCCAGGACAGCATTGAAAGAGCCATTATTGAGTTACAGACTGGGAAGAGTCCAGAGGATGTAGCTGTTCAAGTCCAGGCCATGCCTTACCCCTGCTATAATAAGGATATGTAAGTTTGTGTGATTTTGTTGTCTTCGTGTTTTCTGTTAGTTCATCTCACCTGACTGATGGAGTTCACCCGCTGCACGGGTCTCCTTACCACCACGTTCACGTGGGACAGGAATCAAAAATTCCTTTTTCAAGGGTCAGAAAAGGGGGAATTTTGGCCTCTAATATAAATGGCCTCTGTTTGCCCAATCTTCTGTTTTCAGTGCTTTGTACGTACCTGAATTGTCATGGTAACTGTAGGTTTTCCAGCAGGTGAAATTTGCTGTCCCTGTTTCACATGTGTTGGAACTAAGACTTGAACCAGCAGCACTCACATTAAAGATATGATCATTAGCTTGTTCTGCAGGTGTTTACATCCAGACAGTACAACACAATGAGAAAATGTATTTACTTGGCAAAGAAAAAAAGAGTCCCTAAGTTTGAGCTCTGTTCCTCGATAATGCTATCTAGCTGTGGTATTTGTTATTCATTCCAGCAATTCTAGCTAATATTCAGTGCCTAGTGAATAGTTTTCGGTACAGGTGCCTCTCTCTCAGATGTGTTAAGAACAATAAGAGGGAAGATGAAATTGTACCATTCATCTCCACAATAATGAAGGAAGACAGGAGCTTTTGATGCAATGAGTTGTCAAGGTTAACAGCCTGTTATATAGAGCAGTGCAGTGTGAACAGTGTGTGGACCAGAATAAGTTTTGAATGATAAAAGAGATCAAAAAGTTTTGGATTATCTTTCCACTCATCTTGAGCCAGATCTGCAGCTAGTATAAACTGTAGCTCTGCCAAATGCAATACAGAGAAGCCAGTATCTCACAGCTGAGGACCTGCCCCTCTGGCAAGATAATTTTGGTTGGCATTGGAAACCTGGCAACATGGTGCTTCCTCAGAGTTACTACCCTGACCTCAGCTGGTGGCCAAACTGGGTGGAAAACACACAGGGAAGGAATTTCATGTCCGTTACAAAGCGCTGAAGGACATTCAGCAAATATTATTGGTAGGGTGGGTGGTCAAACCGTGGCTGACGATATGAGCGTCTCGCTTGGACCAAGAGTACAGACTGAACCTAGGAGCTCTGTCTACTGAAAAGCCTGCATCTCTCCTGCGTGAGCTAAAAGACAATGGGCGCTGTAGCAGACGCATTAACCTCATATGTCGCCCGGTCGCTTAAGAGAGCTAGGGACCTATAATCTCTTGTTAAGGTAACTGCATACAAAGTGCCTGCCACTTTATTGTTCCTGTAAGTACATAGACAGTAAGCATTCAAACCAAATGTCAACTTCTTGCAGCAAATATATGGGTTATTGTGGTGAGATTCTTCTATACCATGATTAACTGGCTGCTGGGAGGTTTACTACGAGCTATCTGCTTCCTTTCTTGTTTTTGGGCTGCCAAAATAACAGCTTGCCTTTGAGATTCCCTCCCTACCCTAGGTTGAGAGGGACATGAGTTTGCTCAATTATTAAAATACCTAAAGGCTTTGGAATTGCATCCAGTAGAAGTCATTATAAAATGGACCTGTATTGATTGTTATCACATAGTTGCCATCCTCTAGGGAAACCGAGAGAATCTTGTGTACCACTGTACAGAAGGTGCGGGGAAGTGCTGAATTTTTAATAGCCTAGAGATCATGCACAAGGCGGTAGCCAAAAAAAAGAAAAAGTAGAGCTACTGAAATGCCTTTTTATTGTTTGTTATAAATATGGGTTCGTTTTTTCGGAAGCGCTTCCTGAAAGCACTGCTTTGGGGAAAATTTTCAGTTTTTCAGGTAGAAAATTATGAAACTCTAAAGTTCATTTTTTACTGTTACCGTACATTAAACTTTTCCCAGGCATAACGCTGAAATTTGTTTAGAGCCTGGTCTAGAAATAAAGGAGGAAAGCATAAGCCTGGTAGATGCAATGAAGTGAATCTCCTGCTATAAAAGCTCACTTTCCATCACAGAAGGCGAATTTAACTGTCAGCCATTGTTGTTTCTTTTCTCTGGGCACATTTGGCATGGGGGGAAGATTTCGGTTAAAGCCAGGAGCAGAGAATTGTGAAACCCACGTTGCAGGCTTGGGTCCTTGCAACACCTGCCTGTGGGGTGACAGGGCAGACACGTCTCTCTGCTGGGAAGTGCCTAAATCCAAACTCAGTAACAGGATATATGGCCTAATCAGAAAATTTGGCCGTTATATCTGTTGGCAGAACTGGGAGTCATGGCTCGCTGCTGTGGTTTTTCAAACTGACATGTACCCCGTCAGAGAGCCAGGAGATGTCCCTGCCAGTGGCAGTTCCTGCTCCTGCCAGTGGTGGTACTGAGCAAAGCTGCTTCCAGAATCTGGCTGGAAGTCCCTCTGTGGTTTAAAAAAGAAAAAAAAATGTTTTTGAAACAGCCAGGAGCTTCATGAATGCAAAATCCAATGCAAGGGCAAAATAGCCTTTTTTTATAATTATTAATTATACTCCATGTTTTGAAATATAAGCATGTCTTTTCCTGTGCCAACGTATTATTCTGAAAAATATATTCACTATAAATCCTTAATCCTCAGAATATTTTGTATTCCGCTAAAGCCTGTATTTGCCTTTTACAGGTTCTTAACCAGCGTGACCTACTCTCTTCCATTTGCTCTGATGGCTGCCTGGGTACTGTTTATAGCTGATTTTGTTAAAACACTTGTTCAGGAGAAAGATCTGAGGCTTTATGAGGTATGCTGAAGCTTTCTGTGGCATGTAAAATTATAAACCGATTTTCCTTATTAGTAAGTAGTATATCTCATGTGCAACATTAAAAAGAACAAAATGAGCATTAAGGAAAATGATCTTCTAAATACCTATTGTTTGACCTGCACTGCTTGAATTCTGACATTGTAACCAAGTTCAAAACTAAAAATGCAGAGCATTTGCCCTTAAAGTGGTGAGAATGTTACTTTGTTGTTCTGAACACTAGAAATTTTGGGATGTCACAAAATCACAAGTTTGCTGAAGATTCAGTGCTCTCTAAAAATTTATTTTGAATCATGCCTAGTGGGGATGAGGACATGAAAAGTGGACTCATTTTCTATCCTTGAAGTTACTATACTTAATATTTCAGAAGGTGCTGCATATTACATCAGCTCCTCTGAAATGGAGTTCTTGATTCAGGTTGCCTACTGGAAAAGAAATGACATTGAGACGAAGGGAATTTACTTAATTAATTCAGGTTTTCAGTGTGAACAAAGTCAGCAGAGATGAACAGCGAAGAACTTTTGTAAAACTAAGCTTCATCAAGCAACAAAAGCTTGAGCAGATTTGTTTTTCATCTGGTACCATGGAAACAAATGCCGGTTCACCAAAAAACACTTTGAAGGGAAGGCACTCTGAACTGTAACGAGATTAAACGAATGAACCCCCAGTGGCTGGTTGATAGCCCTCACCCTAGTTTTGGGAATCCAGTTTCATTGCCTCTAAAAACCAGGGTGTCAGTAGTCCTTTTAGGTGTATAATAATCGACAGCAAGACGCCAGCAGCCATTGTTTCTTTTGGATTTTGCAATATACATTTACAGTTTTGTGCAAGTCTTACAGGCTTGTTCATCAGATAATGTTTCATTATAAACATGCTAATTTATCTGTTACTGTCTTTTGGGGAGGGTTAAATGTTTTTGTTTCGAAGACACTTTGAAAAAAGAGTTTTTATACTCAAGCCACCTAGTTCCATAGTATTATTTTTTTAAAGTAACAAAATGCTTTAGAAAAGCAACAGATCTAAGGCAGCAGTTGCTTTGGGGCTTGTGGGCTGCAACAGTTTGAACTTGTAGATCCTGTCTGTCCTATCCTTTGCAGTGGAGTGTTTTGCAAATGCAGAGCATTCCAGAAACGTGAGTGCTTGATTTCTCCTTGGCTATCAAATGGCAGTATGCCAAATGTGAAAGAGCATGTTTCGATTTTATGCTCTATTGAGACATTGAAAAGAGGAGACTGAAATGGTTCAGTATCAGCAGAAAGTTCTCTCAATAAGTTGTTGTTTGTGGTTCTTTCTTTCACCTTTCTCTGTGTAGTACATGAAAATGATGGGTGTTAACGTCAGCAGCCATTTCATCGCCTGGTTCATAGAGTGTGCCATCTTCCTTTTAATCACTGTCACCTTCCTCATCGTTGTACTGAAAGTGGGAGACATCCTTCCAAAAACAAACACGGCGCTCCTGTTCCTGTACCTTATGGACTACAGCCTCTCTATCATAGCCATGAGCTACTTCATCAGCGTTTTCTTCAACAACACCAACATAGCGGCCTTGGTGGGCAGTCTTGTATACATCCTCACCTTCTTCCCCTTCATTGTGTTGCTTGTCATTGAGAATCATTTGAGCTTCTCTGTGAAGAGCCTACTGGTAAGTTCTGCTTTTCAGTAACACACGTCACGTGTGTGGAAGTGGACGCCAACCTTCCCTAAGCTTGCACTTCTGTTCTGACTTGTGTCACAAATAGGCATGAGTTTGGTGCCTTTCTAAACTCTACGAGTGGGTGTTTACAAGTGCTGCAGCGCGTGATGAGGAAGGTTGTCTGTGGCCTGCTCGAGGGAAACCTGGAATTAGTTGCGTCCCATGCCTGAAAGCAATACTTGTGGCATTTTAATAAATTACAGCCTGTCAGCTGAGTCAGAGTAGTTTGTGAGCTATGTACTTTGCCTTTTGCAGTCGCAAAGCAAAATGGGTTAGCTCCAACCACTGTGAACAGCAAGGCTGTGTTCAGTAAGGGGGTTAGGTAGCAGGGCTGTGAATGAAGGCTGCACGGTGCGTGTTTCTCTCATAGCTGGCTCTGTTCATCCTTTAGTTAAATGTATCTCAAATTCCGAACTGTGAAAAGAGACGTAAAGCCTTGCCTCTTGCCACAGGTAGAAATAGGTAGATAATTCCTTGCCAAATAAATTATGTAGGTGTTATCTAGATACTTAGGTATCAGAAGCCAGGTTTATTTTCTTTAAGTCCACTGAATTCAGGAAGCGACCCCCATTAAGGCAACTAGTAAAATTATTAGCCACATGTCAAGTAATTCTCAAGCGCTACTTAATTGCAAAAGCCACTCTGCTTTTAAGCTCTTCACTGTCCGTTTGTGCGACTGTGTACCTAAGGCAGCTAATTACCCATGTTCATTATAGCTCAGTATATGTTTACTCATGGACGACTAGGGCCCTGTATGAGGAAGGAAGTGGGGCCCTGGGTATGGGAAACAAAAGGAAGGAGGGTACTAAGGCAGAATTATAGCCTGTCACTGGAAGTGCCGCCCATTACTGACCTGGTCCAGTGCTCTTTGTGACTATCGGAAAAAATCTCACTAATGTTTCTGGCTACTGGATCAAGCCAGTGAGAGACTGGATTGTTGACTGTCTTGATTTCTCTTTCAGATTAATTCATAAATTCTTTGCTTTCAATTTCCTTTATTCCACAGAGCCTATTGTCTCCAACTGCGTTCAGTTATGCAAGTCAATACATTGCTCGATATGAGGCCCAGGGCATAGGTATGTTTATTGCAGACAAAACTGTGCTTTGAGCTGTCACGATTGTGATGTTTCGTTGACGTGGATTCTGTTTGTCTGTATTTCTAAATTCCTTTCTGCAGGTCTGCAATGGGATAACATGTATAAATCTCCAATGATTGGAGACAACACTTCCTTTGGCTGGATGTGCTGGCTCATCCTGATAGACTCTTTCATTTACTTCATCCTGGGATGGTATATAAGGAATGTTTTCCCAGGTAAGGATGTGAAGCTTCGAGGCCAGTGCTGTACCGTTTCCTGTAGAAAAAAGTGAATGCCACACTGGCTGATTCCAGGATTAAGGAAGTAAGACAGTCTGCTCACACAGGATGCCTCTGTTTCTGGATCAAAAGGGGCATGACTTGGGTATCTGAGAGTGTTTATGAATCCTGAGACAGGGCAGAGCAGGAGGGCATTAGGGTTCCCCTGCTTATCACGTGGGTAGTTGGGAGCGCTGAAGAAGCTGAGACCAAGGACAGAGGAGCATGCGTGCGCTCTCTGGTTGGTGGAAATGAGAACAGAGCATACTAGCCTGCATTTGTCAGTCGAGTGATTTTGTGTTGTGTTACTTATATCATTTGATTTCAAAAAGTAATTCCTGCCGTGGGCAAGAGACAGTAGGTTTGTCTTTTGCTTTTCTTCCCCGCCTAATGAAGCAGTCCACTGGCACACAGAAATCTACCCAGTGGAAAACGTAAAGTACTCCAGCCCTCTGGCTATGGAGTTACTCAGAATAATAAATTAGCTAATACTTCCTACTGTGTCAGTCAGAGGAAAAATCCCCCACCAAGGAGGTGAGAGGAGAGAGATCTCTGCGGAGTTTTTAATTTTGAGCACACCTCAATAGCGGTGCTTCCCTATCAAGCCAGTGAGAGACTGGATTGTTGACTGTCTTGATTTCTCTTTCAGATTAATTCATAAATTCTTTGCTTTCAATTTCCTTTATTCCACAGAGCCTATTGTCTCCAACTGCGTTCAGTTATGCAAGTCAATACATTGCTCGATATGAGGCCCAGGGCATAGGTATGTTTATTGCAGACAAAACTGTGCTTTGAGCTGTCACGATTGTGATGTTTCGTTGACGTGGATTCTGTTTGTCTGTATTTCTAAATTCCTTTCTGCAGGTCTGCAATGGGATAACATGTATAAATCTCCAATGATTGGAGACAACACTTCCTTTGGCTGGATGTGCTGGCTCATCCTGATAGACTCTTTCATTTACTTCATCCTGGGATGGTATATAAGGAATGTTTTCCCAGGTAAGGATGTGAAGCTTCGAGGCCAGTGCTGTACCGTTTCCTGTAGAAAAAATGCCACACTGGCTGATTCCAGGATTAAGGAAGTAAGACAGTCTGCTCACACAGGATGCCTCTGTTTCTGGATCAAAAGGGGCATGACTTGGGTATCTGAGAGTGTTTATGAATCCTGAGACAGGGCAGAGCAGGAGGGCATTAGGGTTCCCCTGCTTATCACGTGGGTAGTTGGGAGCGCTGAAGAAGCTGAGACCAAGGACAGAGGAGCATGCGTGCGCTCTCTGGTTGGTGGAAATGAGAACAGAGCATACTAGCCTGCATTTGTCAGTCGAGTGATTTTGTGTTGTGTTACTTATATCATTTGATTTCAAAAAGTAATTCCTGCCGTGGGCAAGAGACAGTAGGTTTGTCTTTTGCTTTTCTTCCCCGCCTAATGAAGCAGTCCACTGGCACACAGAAATCTACCCAGTGGAAAACGTAAAGTACTCCAGCCCTCTGGCTATGGAGTTACTCAGAATAATAAATTAGCTAATACTTCCTACTGTGTCAGTCAGAGGAAAAATCCCCCACCAAGGAGGTGAGAGGAGAGAGATCTCTGCGGAGTTTTTAATTTTGAGCACACCTCAATAGCGGTGCTTCCCTTAGAAGCAGATACTTGAATATTTTTCCTCTTCCCAATGCAGGGAGATATGGTATGGCTGCTCCCTGGTATTTTCCATTGCTTCCGTCTTACTGGATCGAATACAACGGTTATATCCCCTTCTGGAATGAGAAACGAAGAGGCCTACTCTTTACCAAGCTGGTGTTAAGGAAGGAAGCCACCCTCAACAATAAGATATGTATGTGAATGCTAGATGGGGTAGTGATGCTAACTTACGTCTTAGGTAAACGAAGTCAAAAGTGCAAAGCGGCATTGTTTTGTTTGTAATCATTAGTTCAGTGGACTCGCTCAGAAAACGCATTTCTATGTTGATCCCTATTTTGTAGCACAAGAAAATTTTGGACCTGTTACTTATCTGAAAGGAGATTTGCCTTTTAATTTATACTTGCTATTTGGTACGGAAATCCTATGCTGATGTTTATAGGTGTCTTTGTGTATATGTCCGTTATAGTTGGGCAGTTACCTTGGATATAGCTATCTTGCACTACAATGCTCTATGTAGAAATACACTTTTATTTGTACAAGCAAATACAGGTTTCTACTTGGGAAAAGGGATGTCTACTTCTGTTTTTATCTCTTTAGAAATTTAACCTGTAAAGTATTGTGAGATCACAGGTAAGAGCTTGCTGATGCTACCATAAAATATCTCAGTAGTTTTGCTCTGTGACCTCTACTTTTCTTTGCTTGCTTAGCACAGATTAAGTTAGGTGCCCTGAAACATCTAAATACGAGACCTTTTTGAAAGTGATTAATGCTCATTGTCAGGAATTATTAGCAGTTGCAGGAGTGAAAGGGAGAAATCCTGGAGAGTGCAAAATGATATAGATCCTACAAAATGTTCTCTGCATTCCCAGCTGAAAGACACTTAGTTTTGCTGCGTTCTATCTTTTAAAAAGCCCTGATTATCTCTGAGATGAAAAAAGTAGCACAAATATCTGCTTCAGTGCAGTAACTGTCCTCTGAACTTTCCCTTTGGTGTTGAAGGTGCGCCCCCTCCTCACCTGGAACCGGACCCCACTGATCTCACCTTGGGAGTCTCGCTCCGTGGCATAACAAAGATTTATGGATCCAAAGCTGCAGTGGAGAACCTCAGCCTGAACTTCTATGAAGGCAATATCACTTCCCTGCTGGGGCACAATGGAGCTGGGAAAACTACAACCATGTATGTCTCCTTTAAAGCAGAGTTATTTTATTCTGTAGGGCACGGTGGGTGAACGAGAAAGCAAGCGAGGCTGCACAGTATTGTGAAGCTGAATGAGATGCTTTGTTAGGCCTCATCTCTTTTGTAGTTTTAGCTGGCTCTTTGACAACCTCAGCAGTGCCTCCGTCTATTAGAATTAAGGGTCCTTTTTTGCTTAGGAATATACTTCTTAATCTGCAGGATTCCTGTAATACTCAGCACAGCAACTGTTCCAGCATTTTGTGCCGTGATGCTTTGGAGGGTTAGGTTGCTCTGAAAGCTGTCGGTAGCTTGTGCACACGCCACCGTTGAGTGGTATTAGCAAGAAAGCTTAGTAATGGTATGTTTCAGCTGTACAAACATACATGTTTGCTGGGCAGGGAGGGCAGTGGGTTAATCCATCGGCCTTTCAGCCCTTCCAGCCTTGCCTTTTATAAATTATTATTTGAATTGTTAGATAACAGCATGTAGAACTTGATTTCCTCACTGATGTATACACACATATATATGCATCGCTGTGAAAGTCACTTTACGCGGGTAAGTAAAAGCCCTAGAAGAGCCGAAACCACTAAAGACAGATGTGTGCTTCATCTCAGCTAATTATAAATTCATCTCATGCCCTCTTTGCAAAATGTAGGCAAAGTTGTTATACAGAAGAGTATAATGGCTTCTAGAAACTTAGTGCAGATTTCAAATCCTGAGTAAGGTCACAAGTTACCTCTCCTTTTCTTTTTAATGATGGTTAAAAGTCCCAGGAGAGGGAAAGGCTCTGGAAAGGTGAAGGGCACTCTGAGATACATCTTCTCCCTTTAGTCCCTGCAGGACAGCAATAAAAATGACCTGTATTGTGCAAGTAGTTATTCTGGGCAGAAGGTGTTTGACTCAGGTCTGTTAGGCATTGCTAGGTAGCTAATTATTTGCTTGAACCAGATGAAAGCGCTGCCCTCCATGAGGTGTCTTATCTGGAAGTCCTCCCCCATTTCTTGCTAATAATGGCAAGAGTGGCAGTGAAATCAGATTTCCGTGCTCTGATGTGGTTAGGAATATAAAGCTGTCCGGATACTGCAGCCAGACCTCAAAGAATGAAGAATTACTACATTGTATGAATTTCCAGTGATTAAATTGGAAGCCAAGGGGATTCACGTGTATTGAGGTATGGGATATGCACAGTGGTCTGACTTGGGGAGGGGAAGATTGATGGAGATAAAAGTACACATAAAAAATAGCCAGAGTTCAGTGTGTGAGCTTGATGCTTCCCCTTGCATCCTCGCAGAGGTGGAGGAGGATGCCCTTCAATGTTGGCCAGCCACTGCTCTGCCAAAGCATTGACAGACACCAGAAGAAGCTGTGTTCAGTGGCCTCTAGCTGTAAGGAGTATGGTAGTGGTGTAGGG